ATTTTTTTTAAAAGGCTGGGTATTGTCAATGTGGGAAAACTCACACCCTACCAATGGGAATGTAAATCAAGCAGTCTTTCTGGAGAACTGGAAAGCAGTGTATGTGTGTCCTATGATCCAGCCATTCCACTCAAGCATCTATACCTGTGGCAGGTGCCATAGACCCTGCCGTATTCCCTGAGCATCCATAGTCCCCATATGCAGGGAAATTCAGAACGGCCTGGGAGTTATCGTCCCCTCCATCTCCTTCTCCAGAGCAGCCCTGAGCCTTGACAGACGGGTGCTGGTGCATCAATGCTTCCACTCCCTCGCCCCTTTGGGTGGGACAACTTCGAGGTGCGTCCTCTGCCGTCTGCCAGAGATCCCCAGCACAATGGAGACCCAGTTGCCTATATTGGTAACCTGCTCCTTCACCCTCATTAAAACACCCAAATTAATGCCCACTGGCTTCGTCTCTTCCCAGTCTCACCTCCCTATTGCTCCACCATTAGTGTTTCCTGGGATCACCTTCCAGATAAATCATCCACCCATCCATCATTTACCGAATGCCCACTGTGCACGAGGCACCATTCCAAGTGCTGGGGACACAGCGGGGAGCTAAAGTGACACATTTCTGGGGCTCATGGGGCTTCCATCCCAGTGACCTTGGAGGTTCTTGTGCAAGTACACGAAGTATGCACAGCTCTTGTCACAAACTGACATTATCTGTTCCTTCATTTGTTTACCTGCTTACGTCCGTCTCTCTCGACCGGCGAGGATGGAAGCTCTGAGAGACAAGGGCCCTAGCTTATCTTTTCCACACAATGAAGGTTTGTCTTTGGGCTGCCTGGGGTTGAGCCCAGGACTTCACAGAGGTCACATCCCTGAGGGTCGTGCCCATTGCAGGGTTTCACAGAGGAACCTAAGCTTAGGGGGTCCCAGCCCTCAAGGTTTCAGGTCTCAGGCTGTCTCTCATCTGGTGAACTCGTGGGCTTCTTTTTCCCAGTGGGGGAGGGGTCTCCTTCACCCACCCTAATCCAGGTCGCCTCTCCCTTCACTTTTGCAGACAGAGCCGATGAAGGGCCAATCGCAGATGCCTCCGTGCTGAATTGGGCAATTTGCTGGTCTAAGACCCAGCCCAGGCCTCCCTCGGTGGGGAGGCAGTCATCCTTTTTAGAAGCCGGCCTTCCAGACTGGACTCCAGCCCCAGCTCCCAGAGCCTTCTGGCCCCTGGCGTCCCCCTCCCCAGGACCTGGGAGCAGCTCGCTCCTCCTCTTTCCCCAGTGGAAGGCTGTCCTCAAGGATGGGCAGGTTCCCACAGGAGAGCACCCCAACTCTGCTCAACTCCTCACGGCTGGGTGGTCAGAGCAGGAAGGGGGAGGCCCCTTCCCCTTCCCTGGTCCCTGGTCACCCGGTTCCTTGGTTGGGCCTCAAGGCCAGGTGGCCGCACCTTGGGGCGAATGGGGGGCGCCTTCCAGGCCCTCCTGATAGGGTCTATAGAGCCTGGCTCCCAGAAGGGCGCGCGCAGGCTGGCTTTGGGAGCACAGCCCTCCAGCCCCCTCAGTTTCCCTCACTCCAGGTCCGGCCGACAGCAGCCAAGCCTGGAGTTCTAAGGCCCCTGCTCCTGTGGCGGGTCCCTTGCCCACCCCAGGGAGAGCGGGTTTAGAATCGCCCTCCTCCCGCGATCCCAGGGCGCCAGGAGTGGGGGGCGACCTGGAGCGCCCGGAGGGAGGCGGGGCCGAGACGTCCGGCGGGCGGGGCGGGGCGGCTCCCAGGCTCCCATCCCGCCCCCCTGACTCACCCAGGCGGGCCCGGGAACTCCGCGGGAGTCGCGGCCGCTCCGCTCCCAGCGACCCAGGAGTTGGGCCCAGCGCCTGGTCCCGGAGCGGTGAGTAGGTGGCTGTCCGTCCCTGGGGACTGGGGTGGCGGAGTCGGGGTCGCGCGCGCGGGAGGACCGCTCCAGGTGCGGCTAGCGCTGTGGCCTGAGCTAGCCGGCGTCCGGGACACGCAAGGAGCTGGGGAGGGGGTTGGGGGTAGAGAGAGGCTCAGCCCGGGCCCTCCCGAGGGCGCCTGTCCAGGGAGCCCCGAAGGCCTGACCGAGGACTGAGTGAAGATCAACAGGCTGGGGGTGACCCTGGGGGTCTTGACGACGCTCCCCTCTCCTTGGCAGCTTAGACTACAGCCACAACTCATCCGTGTGAGCCCCTCAATGCCCCAGAACCCTACCACGTGGGGTCCTCGCCAGGCTGCCCCCTCTGCAACTCTTGAGCCTCAAGAATCCTCTGAACCCCAAGTCTTGGCGGGGCAGCTTGGAAAAATACTAGGTTGGGAGTCCCCAGGCCTGGGGCCCCACCCAAGATCTGCCACTAAGGTGAGACCCTCCCCCACCCAGGCCTCTGTTTCTCCCTTGTGTAAAGGTCAAGTCAAAAATCCTCTCCAGGGCCCGGCCCCCTGGCCTAGTGGTTAAAGTTCCCTGTGCTCCGCTTCAGCACCCTGGGTTAGGATCCCAGGTGCAGACCTACACCACTCATCAGCCGCAGTGTGGCAGCGACCCACATACAAAATAGAGGAAGATTGGCACAGATGTTAGCTAAGGGCGAATCTTCTTCAGCAAAAAAAAAAAAAAAACCCTCTCCAGGGTTTCAGGGCTGACAGCAAGTCGCTATGTCTTCCTTGCCCCTTAGCATGGGGGGTGGGTGGGGAGGGGGGCTGGACCAGGTGAGCCCACAACCACCATGTTTCTGGAGGCAAGCTGGGGGCTTGGGGAGGGCCTGAGAGGGGAGAAGCAAGGGTGAGGATGCATGGGCTGAGGTAAGGTTGGGTAGGGGGTATGTACCTGGTCCCAGGCTGACGAGACCCTCCCCACAAGCCTGGCATGCAGATCAGCCATCCTCCCATGTTTTCTCTGCCAGAATCCCCCTCTGAGCTTCTTTTGGCAAAGATGCTCGAACAGGTTCTCGCCCGAGATGAAACAAAGGATGCAATCAGACAGAGGGGACTTAAGGGTCTCGCCTCAGAAATCACTTGTGCTTGTGAAACCTTGAGCAAGTTATTTCACTCCCCCGAGTCTGGGAAAGGAGGTCCCGACACCTACGCTCACAGAGTGGGGATCAAAACGAGGCATCGAAAGCGTCTGGTGGCCGCCAGAGGTGCGCGGCTCTGTTGTTCTTCTTCTCTGGGCCCCGGTCCCGAGAGCCCTTCTCCCTGGACCCTCCCACCAGCCCTGCTCAGACAAAGGGGGGCCACCCTTGTGTCTGCGGGAGCTTAATGGCAGGTTCGGGACCATCAAGTTTGAGTCACGGAGACAGATAATGATAACTCCCGTGTCTGCCTCTGAGGGTTTTGTGTGTCCACCTTGCTCTGTGGGAGCCACTGGGCCATTCACTGGGGACCCTGGAGGTCTCTGCCTTCTTGCCTTTGATTGTGGACCCGGGATGGGGGTGGTGGAGCTTCCAACGTCGTGAGATGGGTCCTGAAGGGCGGCAGGCACTCAGGCAGGAAGTCGGTCCCTGTCTGTGTGTGGCATTTCTGCCACAGCCCGCAGAGTTACTGTTCTTAGGTTAGAGCTGAGCAGGGTCCCTTGCAGGTCCTGACGCGGCAGGGAGGACAGTGGGTGGCCAGAGCTGGAAGAGGGTGTGTGGCTGGCTCCCTGGTCCTGGGTCTCCCTGTAGCTCAGTGTGTGTACTTGCACTGTGTCCCCACATGTACAAGCTGCCCCCACGTGTCCCTTTGGTGGCTGCAATGTACATTCGGCCCCCTGGAGGCTGTTGAGCTGTCATTCAGGTATTTCTATCAGATTCTTTGGTGACTGAGACTGCACATGATGCACTGGAACACTTTTACTCAGCTTTTCGTTTGGACAGGGTGTAAAACCGAGCATGAGGGACGGGCCATTATGTGAGGGATCTGTGCTCTGTCTGTGCACCCCTTTTGTGTGCCTGGTTCTGGGTGAGTCAGGGCCTGAGTCAGGGGACCCAGGAGCCCGGGTGTGGGCAGGCGTGTGCCTGTCCCTTGCTTGCCATCCTCATACAGGGTACAGAGGTGGGAGCCTCTGATGGGATTGAGGGGTGTGGTGGACTGCCCAGGCTTCAGCCTGGTGGGCAGGGCATGCATCCTGTAACCCCACCCACCCCACCTTGTCCTCACCCAGGAGTCACCAAAGGTCTTCAGAGGACCAAAAAGGGAGGCATGGAGATGTCAGAGTGCTTGGCTGAGGTGTGGGACAGGGGCCAGCTTCCCCCCAGGAGATGGGAGAGAGGCTAGAGGACCAGCGGGCAGCCCAGATGCCTCCCTCCCCTGTGCAGCCTGTGCCCAGTGACAGGCCATCAAGATGAGGACAGCAGGCTCCAGGAACCTGCCTGAGAAAACAGGGGCTGTACATTGGGGAGCATGGAGGCTGGGAGGAGGAGCCTAGGAGCCCCCTTGGAGGCAGTGGAGGCCTCGCTGTCTCCCTTTCCTCCCCCTCCAGCCCCAGGGAGAGAGGCGGAGGGAGGCTCCTCGGTAATGTCCCAGCTTGTGGCCCACGCCCCCATGTGCCCTGCTCCTGGCCCTCTGTATCTGGAATAATGATACCTTGGTCTAAAATGAAACCCAGGGACAGACAGAGTGGGCCAGGAGCCCAGGAGCCTGGAAGCCCAGCTCCGTCCCAGTCGTAGGTGTCAGCCTGGCTTTCTCGCTGAGCCTTTTCCAGTTCCGGATCCTCTGCCCCTCGGAGGCCTTTTGTCTGCCTCAGGTTCTGGGCACGAGACCCTCCAGAAAACCCAGGTGTCCTAGTCACCTCCCACCCTCCAGGGCTGACCAGCCTTCAGCTTCGACACTCCCTGCCCCTGGGGCCCCGTAACCAGAGCCAGGCTCCAGCCGGCTTTTCCGGTTGGAGGTTGGAGGTGGTGCCCGGAGCGCCCCTGAAGGGGGTGGGGGACCCACGCCCCGGAAGTCCTGAGCCTCGGGACGCTCTCGGGTCCAGCGGCAGAGAGATCCTGGACTGGCCCAGCAACAGAGCAAGAGTTTTGGGCCTCGGCGTTACGGGGGGAGAACATGCCTGTGTTCCGGGAGAAGGCCACACGGGCAGACTGGAGGACGGCGGCCCTGTGGACTGCCCCCCCTGAGCTCTGAGTGCAAGCAGAGTCAGGTCAGGGGTCCCGGGATGCAGAAGTGGTGAGAACGGGAGTCGCTTGTCTCCGGGAAGGAGGAGAGGTCTGGGGGAGAGGGGACGGGGGCACCCAGCTCGTGGGTTCTGCCAGCCTTGGGCAGGGCGCAGCGCGGATTGGGAGCAGAGGTGTGTGTCTGGCTCCTCTGGGGACCCACTGCCAGGCGCCCCTTAATGAGGGCCTCTCTGCCCCCCTGCCTCCTCCTCTCCCATAGGCAGCATGATTCCGGTGGCCGAGTTCAAGCAGTTCACAGAGCAGCAGCCCGCCCTCAAGGTGCTCAAACCCTGGTGGGATGTGCTGGCAGAGTACCTCACCGTGGCCATGCTGATGATTGGGGTTTTCGGCTGCACCCTCCAGGTAAGGGGCGGGGCGAGGGCGGGGGCTGGAGGGGCGGAGCCTGAGTGAGAGGCAGAGCTTTAGGGGCTGGAGGGGCAGAGCCTGGATACGGGACAGAGCCTTAGGGGCGCGGCGGGGGGCGGGGGGGCTGGAGGGGCGGGGTCTGGGTGAGAGGTAGAGCCTTAGAGGTGGGGGACTGGAGGGGAGGGGCCTGGGCGAGAGGGGGCGGGGCCTGGGGGATTCCGGAAGTCTTCCTGTTACCCAAAGAAGGGGAAGCCTGAGGTCTACTGGCAGACCAATTCTGACCCCTTCCCATTCCCGCCAGCACTGGCAGTGCCACCAAAGTCCTCCTCATGGCTATGGCAGTCCATACTTTTATAATACTCAGTTTCATCCCTGGAATCTAGTTAACCCTACTAGTTTGCTAGGGCTGACGTAACAAAGTATCACAAACTGGGTGGCTTAAGCAGAAATTTATTGTCTCAGTTCTGGACACTAGAAGTCTGAAATCAAAGTGTGGACAGCTGGTTCGGTCAAGGGCTGTGAGGGAGGATCTGGTCCATGCCTCGCTCCTAGATTCTGGTGGCCTCAGACATTCGTTGGTTTATAGGAGACATTCTCCCTGTATCTTCATATCATCTTCCCTCTGTGTGTGTGTCTGTCTGTCTGTCTGTGTCCAAATTTCCCCTTTTTATAACGACACAATCATATTGGATTAGGGTCCACACTAATGACCTCATCTTAACTTGATTACACCTGCTTTGCAAAGACTATTTCCAAACAAGGCTACGTTCACATGTATGGGGGATTAGGACTTCCATAACTTTTGGGGGGACACAATTCAACCCAACTCCTTTTTTCAGACAAAGACCGACGCTCAGAGGTTTAGCTACTCTTCCAACGTCACAGCCAGCCAGGGACAGTCAGGGATCGGGGCCTCCAGCCTTTAGCCTGCTTCCCTCTCCCCAGCTCCCCACGCTGTTCCAGGTCCTTCACCGTCTTTCGTCCTCTCCCCCATCTCTAGGTGACACAGGACAAGATCATCTGTCTGCCCAGTCATGAGCCCCGGGAGAATTTATCAGAGGCCCCCTGCCAGCAGCTTCTCCCGCAGGGGGTCTCGGAGCAGGTGGGGGGCCTCCGGGAGGTGAGCGGCCTGAAGAACAACCTGGACCTGCAGCAGTACAACTTCATCAACCAGCTCTGCTACGAGACGGCCCTCCACTGGTATGCCAAGTACTTCCCCTACCTGGTTGTCATTCACACGCTCATCTTCATGGTCTGCACCAGCTTCTGGTTCAAGTTCCCCGGCACCAGCTCGAAGATCGAGCACTTCATCTCCATCCTGGGCAAGTGTTTCGACTCGCCGTGGACCACGCGGGCCCTGTCCGAGGTCTCCGGGGAGAACCACAAGGGCCCTGCCACCGGACGGGCGACGGCGGCTGTGACGGCCACAGCGGGTCCCGGGAAGGCAGGTGAGGGCGAGAAGGAGAAGGTGCTGGCGGAGCCTGAGAAGGTGGTGACGGAGCCACCCGCCGTCACCCTTTTGGACAAGAAGGAGGGCGAGCAGGCCAAAGCCCTGTTTGAGAAGGTCAAGAAGTTCCGCGTGCACGTGGAAGAGGGAGACATCTTGTACACCATGTACATCCGGCAGACGGTGCTCAAAGTCTGCAAGTTCTTAGCCATCCTGGTCTACAGCCTCGTCTACGTGGAGAAGATCAACTTCCTGGTGGCCTGCAGGGTGGAGACCTCGGAGGTCACGGGCTACGCCAGCTTCTGCTGCAGCCACACGAAGGCTCACCTCTTCTCCAAGCTGGCCTTTTGCTACATCTCCTTCGTGTGCGTCTACGGCATAACCTGCCTCTACACGCTCTACTGGATCTTCCACCGGCCCCTCAAGGAGTACTCCTTCCGTTCCGTGCGGGAGGAGACTGGCATGGGGGACATCCCCGACGTCAAGAATGACTTCGCCTTCATGCTGCACCTCATCGACCAGTACGACTCGCTCTACTCCAAGCGCTTCGCCGTCTTCCTCTCCGAGGTCAGCGAGAGCCGCCTGAAGCAGCTCAGCCTCAACCACGAGTGGACGCCCGAGAAGCTTCGGCAAAAACTGCAGCGCAACGCCCGGGGCCGGCTCGAGCTGGCCCTCTGCATGCTCCCGGGACTGCCCGACACTGTCTTTGAGCTCAGCGAGATGGAGGCGCTCCGGCTGGAGGCCATCGGCGACATCACCTTCCCCCCGGGCCTGTCGCAGCTGGTGCACCTGCAGGAGCTCAGCCTGCTCCACTCGCCCGCCAGGCTGCCCTTCTCCTCGCAGGTCTTCCTGCGGGACCGCCTGAGGGTCATCCGCGTCAAGTGCGAGGAGCTCCGCGAGGTCCCCCTCTGGGTGTTTGGGCTGCGTGGCCTGGAGGAACTGCACCTCGAGGGGCTCTTCCCCCCGGAGCTGGCTCGGGCGGCCGCCCTCGAGAGCCTCCGGGAGCTGAAGCAACTCAAAGTCCTGTCTCTGCGGAGCAATGCCAGCAAGGTGCCGGCCAGCGTGACCGACGTGGCCGGGCACCTGCAGCGGCTTAGCCTGCACAACGACGGGGCCCGTCTGCTGGCCCTCAACAGCCTCAAGAAGTTGGCGGTGCTGCGGGAGCTGGAGCTGGTGGCCTGCGGGCTGGAGCGCGTCCCCCACGCCGTCTTCAGCCTGGGCGCACTGCAGGAGCTGGACCTCAGAGACAACCACCTGCGCTCCATCGAGGAGATCCTCAGTTTCCAGCACTGTCGCAAGCTCGTCACGCTCAGGCTGTGGCACAACCAGATTGCCTACGTGCCCGAGCACGTGCGGAGGCTCCGGAGCCTGGAGCAGCTCTACCTCAGCCACAACAAGCTGGAGACCCTGCCCACCCAGCTCGGCATGTGCTCTGGCCTCCGCCTGCTGGACGTCTCCCACAACGGGCTGCGCTCCCTGCCGCCCGAGCTGGGCCTCCTGCAGAACCTGCAGCACCTGGCTGTCTCCTACAACGCCCTGGAGGCCCTGCCCGACGAGCTCTTCTTCTGCCGCAAGCTGCGGACGTTGCTTCTCGGCTACAACCACCTGAACCAGCTCTCGCCCCAGGTGGGGGCCCTCAGGGCCCTCAGCCGCCTGGAGCTCAAGGGCAACCGGTTGGAGGTGCTGCCAGAAGAACTTGGCAACTGTGGGGGGCTCAAGAAGGCAGGGCTCCTGGTGGAAGACACCCTTTATGAAGGCCTGCCGGCAGAGGTGCGGGACAAGATGGAGGAGGAGTGAAGGCAGGGAGGGGCAGGTTGGGGTAGAGACATTCCGGATGCTTCCGCCCCAAAATCTCTACCATTGTCTTCAAAGGAGGCAGCCAAGTAGGCCCCAGCCAGGAGAGGAGCAGACAAGATCCCGGGACTGGTTTGTCTGGGGAGAGACAGAAGGCTGTGGATTTGGGGTGGAACATAATGGAGGGATTAACTCAGTCATAGGATTCTCAGACCAAAACCACACCTGTGTCTGTGGTTGGCTGGCTTGTCCCCAGCCCCGGGCCAGAACTGCTACCCTCCCCCTGGACATTCCAGCTTAATCAGTGCCACCTTTGGGGGTGGGGGCACATCCCAATGGGATTTCAACCCTCTCCCCCACAACAAAACAGCTTACCTCTGGGGTTCTCTCCCAAGGAGGGGACACAGACACAAGGGACCAGCACCCACCCCCCACTTTGACGTTAAGGCGTTATTTATAAGTTGTTTGCTCCAGACACGTGAACTCAGAAAAATGGTTCTCAGATTTGGCTATGCATCAAAATCAACATCCCCAAAACAAAACATGCCAGGCCCCCACCCCTGAAAGACTGACTCAGGAGGTTTTGGCTGGAGGCCAGGAACTCGGCTGTAAATAAGCATCCCAGGTAGTTCTGACGCAGGTGGTCCTAGGCCTGTATGCAGGACAGTGCTGACCTACGGAATAGACATCTGGATGTCTAGAGCGGGGATTCTGAACCCTTTTCAGGTCCTAGACCCTTGGAGAATCTGATGAAGCTAGGCACCTCCTTCCTCAGGAAAAGCCTTATGTACACATATAGGCAGAGTTCTGCAAACAACTTCAGGCAGTCAACAGATCCCTTCAGATTCCCCAGAGGAATGGATCTCCTAAGGATGGTGGAGCCCAGGTTAAGAACACCGGCAGTGGAGGCTGCATATTTCTGAGGACAGGCAGGGACTTGAGCTTTCAAACATTCCCTGTGTGAGGGAGCAGGAGTGGGTGCTTAATAAATAATACTAATTACGAGAACTATAATTCTGATCTGTGTCCACTCTGGCCGTGGTCTAAGCTTTGCATTGCACCAGACCAGTTACAGGCAAGTGGCGACCCCAACGTGCCAGAATCAAGGGTATGAGTCTGTCCTGGGAGCAGAGGATGAGAGAGACCTCGGCTAATCAGGAGATGTTAGGCGGTATTTTCAGCCTAGCTTTTTTTCTGGAGAACGCTTTTTCCTCTACCTTCCCTGTTATTCTCCCGGTTTGTATCTGCTCTACCCATCAGTCATCACAGAGGAGTCCCCACAGGCCTTCAACGCCCATCACAGTGTTCCTGAGCTGAACCAGCAGCCGACATGGCACTCGGCACAGCCTGCCTGACCCTGACCTTCCGGGCTTGGCCACCTCGCACGCATCTGCAAAATGCGAGCTTCCCCCTGGCACCTAAGAGCAGAGGCAAGCTGCTCTGTGGGGACCAGGGTTCCAGATGGGGACATTTTCCCAGCACCCTTCAGACCAGGTAAAGGAAATGTGTAGACTGCGGGGGCGCCAGGCAGAGCGCGTAACCCCAAGACCCGTCCTCTATGTCCCACGCGGGTCTGACCTGGAACTCTCTGGCCTTGACGTCGGGGTCAGGGGTCACGCCGCTGGATTCCCAGGGCCCCGACAGTGGCCCGAGCCCTACCCCGCCCCTCCCGCCTGTCCTTGGGCAACCCTGAGCTTGCTGAAATGGAAAGGGCTCCCCACGGGTGCCTAATTATGGTGAGGAGGCAGCAATTATGCCTAACAGGGATCCTAATGAAGCACTGTCCGAGACGAGAAAGGCAGTTCCGAGAGGGCGTGGGTGCAGAGAGGGCCAGCCCGGGAAGAACGAGGAGGAGACTGAGGATACACAGCCGCGACGAACACCGGAGACAGGGCCGAGGACAGAGCCAAGGATGCGCACGCGCAACAGACGCCACGCGCACTTCGTCTCCCCCTCTGTACGCATGCGCCCCGCTTTCCCCGCCTACCGCTCCCCACAGAACGGCGAGTGGGTTTCCACACAGCGCCTCTCGCCGGAGCGCTCGGCAGTTCGCACATGCGCACCACGGTGGGGGAGTTGCACGTTGCCAGCCCCGAGCTCTAGGAGGCGTCATCCCTCCGGCTGGGACGAAGCACGCACGCGCGGAGGTTCGCACGAGGGAAGGGCGGGTGCGTGCCGCGGGCATGCGCCTTGCGGGGCGAGACGGCGGCTCGGCGGGGTCATCCATGCGCAGGCGCAGTGCGGTGTTTGTCTGCCGGACTGACGGGCGGCCGGGCTGTGCGCGGCGGCGGCGGGGAAGATGGCGGCGTCCTCCCTGGAGCAGAAGCTGTCCCGCCTGGAAGCAAAGCTGAAGCAGGAGAACCGCGAGGCCCGGCGGAGGATCGACCTCAACCTGGATATCAGCCCCCAGCGGCCCAGGCCCAGT